TGGTGGTTTGTGCCTCCTGTTAGTTTGGGCCTGACCCTAAATGCTCTTTAGTGTTGCAGTGTTTCCCCCCCACAGCTTTTTTGTAATCAAAGCCTGGGCTCTGCATCACAAGTAACAGCAAACATGACATTGCAATCTATGAGTCTACAGTATGGTAAATATTTAAAAGCCTAGTATGTCTGACATGTCAGAGAAGAGCATTCAGCACATAATAGGTGCTGAATTAGAATGTCTGCACCATCAACTTCCATTAGCAGCATGTGTATGGTATTTATATTAAACCCTTTATCACTTCCTCTGGATTTGAATTGTTCCTATCTAAATAAGTGGAAATATCATCACCCTGATTTGGCATAATCCTAAATCAATTTAAATCAGTGAGAATCCTCCCACTGATTTTGCTCATTTTCTAGATTTGGCCTACCACTGTATACAGTATATCTGTGTACAGTCACTGCCAAAAGGTTAACATGTGCTGCTGCCTACCTCCCTCTTCAACCCAGACAGACCCAGTCACCGCTGGTAGATACTGTAAACTTGCTCAGTTTCAACATTCCATTGCTTCAATGAGTCCATCCACTTGTGATGCCTAAGGTAACACCAGGCTGATCTGCCTGGGTCCAAAGGCATTGAAGACATTCCTAGGCCAAGCCTAGATTTGGAGGTCTGCATTTGGCTAGCGCTAAATTTGATCCGACAGATTTCATATTTGCACAGAGTCAAAGACCACAGGGATTTTTAGATCATCTGCTCTGACTTTCTGCGTACCATATGCCATCATATTTTTTCCCAGTTATTCCCATATTGAGCCTAATTACCTGTACTTGATTAAAACAGATCACCCATCCTGCTTTAATGAGTGGAAATTAAAAAAAAAAAAAAAAAAAAAAAGAAAGAAAGAAACTGCTACCTCCTGTGGTAGTTTGTGCCAGTATTTTAATTACTTTAAGTTTGAAAAACATGTATCTAATTTCTTATTTAAGTGTGCCTTGCTTCCATGTTTGTTTTTGCCTGATTTGGCCTTCCTAAACCTGACTTTTTCACCTTGTAAAAATATTTCTTCGCAAATTTGTGCCTATATTTAATTTTTTTTTTTGACAATATAAACTGGTTGAACCCTTAAGGTGTTCAGTGAAAACCGTTTCCTTGATCTTTCTTGGCTGTTTAAAGTGAGGATTGACTGCTGTCACTTGCAAATCCTGTGCAGGCACCCAAGGACTGTTTTGACCCCTTTGCCATAGCTCAAGCAGCTTGCCCACTGTAAGTCCCACCCCTTTCCAAAATAGTCGTATTTCAGGAGGCAAACCCACTTTTTCCAGGAGTGGCTCACCTATTTTGCTCCTAAGTATACACTATTTTGGAGTTTAAAAGATGTTTTGTTTATCTGACACACGATCACATTGCTCCACATGAATCTTCTGTGTTCTCAAGCATTCCACTAATCTTTTATGTAAATTTAAATTTAGAAGGGCAGTTTTTTACTCCAAGATAAGCAGGATTAGGCTTGCATCTGGCTGTTGTCAAGCACACTAGGAATAATCTTATCGAAAGATAATTATGCAGGGACACCTTCTTTTCCATACACACCAATGTCTAGCTCTTGATCTGTTTATAATATGATCTATTGCAATATTTTAAAGGATTTCAGTCTTATTTTGTGTCCCATAGCATCAATGCTGTATGAAGTATACTTTATTTCCATAGTTATCTTAAAAAGTTGAACTTCGAATCTCATTGAAAGAGTTGGCAGTTATCTGGCAAGTTCAACTTTCTTTGGTGTCATTAATCTAAAAAATATTTCCATCATCTAATTCCTTATTGATTAAAATCTTTACTAGTCTAAGCATTATTCACCTCAGATAAATGGTAGGTTAATTGGGTCGCTGTTTCTTGAATCATCCTACTTGCTCTCTTGAATGTTTTGCACTCTTTGCAGCTGGAGTATCTGGCTCTGAGGTGGAATTAAACTGAATGTCAACAAACTGAGGATTTCATCAGTCAGTGGTTTCCGAATTTCTGTGTGTAAATTACTGATCCCTAATGTTTCATAAATGACTACCACTGAAAGATGTTGCCTTGTTTTTCTTCCAGTAACTCAGTGTCTGAAAGATACTTCTATAAAAATAGGAGTATATCAAGAAATGGAAAAAAAGCTGTGAAATATCTATTTTTCCATATATGAATAATCAATTTTGTCATCTTAATCTATTAATATTTATCATATCAATAGGATTTCTTTTGTTCCTACTGCAGTTAAAAAAAATTTGTTCATTGTCTCTAGCAATTCCAGATACCAATTTACTAAACCTTAGCTTTCCCTCATCAATTTTCTAAATTTTGTCCCTTATTTTATCCTTTAAAGGAAGCTATTGAGTTTTAAGAATAGTCACTACGTTGTTCAGCACTTATGCCTCTTACAGCAAAAAACTGCAACCCAACACAGTATTATAAAAAGGGATGAAGACAACTATTCCTGCAGGTCAATGAGGAAAGAGCAAAAGTGGCTATAGTTGTATATGTTAGTTATATAATAATATTTGCTGCTATTATTATTATACATCATTTTTATTTCTCATGCTTCAGACAGAGACAGTGAACTTCCTGTCATAGCAAATAGTCAGGAAACAAAACTGCCATTTCCATTTACCAGCCTTCACACAATTTGCTTTGGTCAACATACCATGCAATCCCTGGTTTACCCAAAAATAGCTTGTAGACAGAATCTGTGCCTAAAAATAAGTCAGCAAGGGAACTAAACACAATAATGAAGAGACTTTGGTGCTATGTGTATATTTTCCAAAAACTTGTGCAATATCTAGCAATAAACACTTTTTGAAACCTGAACTACTCCATCATTAGTTTTGTTATGCACTGCCTCCTGTGTTGTTTATGTTTCTGTAGCATTACAGAGTACTATTTGTGGACCCATTCTATTAAGGCATCAGCACTCTGTTGAACAATACCAGATTTTGTGGTCTTGCAAACCAGCTGCTGGTTGGAGAAGAAGTAATGCAGAGTTGGGAGATTTTCTCAGTGTGGAAGTTATAAGGCTTTCTGGATCAGAGACCTGTGACAGCCATTCACATTTCTGTCTGAAGTAACCTTAAACATTCATCTTTTAGATCAGTGCACTCCAACGGGAATATTGTTTCATAAACTAGCTCCTTGGACAGCTGATGGTGTACTGCACTTAGGCTGGAAAACAACTGATTAGGCAGTATTTCATAAAAGCTCCAGGGGACAGAGTTTTTGAAATGAATCAGAACTTAATAAAGAAATGCCTAGACTCTGCATCACTGTCTTAGGGTTTGGCTGCAAAAACCTTTGTAGGCTGATACAAGCTCGCCCTGCCCACACTCCAGGGAAGCACAAACGCTTTCCACCTTAGTCAAAACCAAGGAAACTTTGTTCTAGAAGCCTGTATTAGTGCTGCATGGATCCAAGGTGGTTTCTCCTGCATCTCTCAACAGAACTTCCTAGCAAAGGCTCAGCATCCCTTTAGCCACAGATTTCAGTTTGGAGCTGCCATGGGTCCAGTTACCTCATTGAACAAGCAGATTATCACACAGCACCATATGAAAAGGTATTCTGTATAGTCCTGTGTGCACAAGAGATGGGCAAAACCCACTCAAAAGTCCATTGCATAAGACCTCTGCAAAAAATATTGCTGTACTATTGATAAGAAAAAATCTTGTTTCTAGAATTTGTTGTAGTTAGACAAAGCCAGGTCAAAATCTTGTAATCTGGAAGTGACTTCTCCAGGAAAGAGGCAAAAATATCTAGTCTAGCAGTTTTTCAAGGGCAGAATAGTGTTCTTCCCAAGAAAAACAACTGGTAAAGCCACAGGTACCAGCCCCATGCCGGGACTGTGTCAGACTGCAGTTGTTGTACACTGAATGAATGATGCCACTGCTGTATTAATTTGGCTTGTATAAGATGTTCTGTTTATTTTCATAAATATCTGTAATTTTATAGTCTATCTTCTATATTATACATATCTATTGACATTACAGCAGGTATTGTCAGTGTGTGGCAGTCCTGATCCTGAACTTAGCTCACCACTGGTGCTTTGTGCCAATTTGAGTCTAACTGTTGAAGCAAGATACGCAGAAATTGGAGGAACCCCAAAGATGAGAGAAGGCTGAATAATTTCAGCCTGTCACATTCAGAAAAGTCTGATTGGCACTAGGATAAGAGTTTTCAATTATGGAAAAAGTCTCCATTAAAGAAGAGAATAACCTGCTCTCCTTATCCACAAGTCAGGACCTTAGACAGACATTAGAAGAACTTTCTGACAGTTGTGAAGGGGGATGAGTCTTCCTTGGTGCTGTGCTGTGGACTTGAAGACCTCCCAGGGTACCTTCCAAGGCTATTTTTCTGTGTTTACAGTACTACAACCTAAATGTAAAGGGCTCACTCTCCATAAAAAAAAAAAAAAAAAAGAATTCTCCCTCTAAAGACCCAAAGACCAGTGTGTTAGCAAGCTCTAGCTTGTAAGTGCTAAAAGCTTCAGAATAATGGCTAGTGCCTGCAGATTTCTGTGGGTTAAATGAAAGTGTCTGGAGAAATTAACTGCTGCCCATTCCAGGTTCTCAACCATCACCCATGTGCTGGAAATGCAACTGCAGACATGACAAAGAAGCAATTATCCCAACAAAATCAGTTATTACCAGTGATTCATATGGTAATGACGGTGGTGAGGATGATGATGGTACTGCTGAACTGTAGCAAGGATGATAATAACCAGTGTTTTATGGGATGGATTACAGGTTTAATCAAAATGAATAGTTTATCACAGATAATGAATTTTACAGGGGAATATGGTCCTAGAAAAATGCCTTGTTCTGAATGCCTGAAAATTACATTGATTTAAGTACTGGGCTACCATATTTGCACTATTAATTTAGAAGAAGAGAGAATTTAGCATTTTTATGTAGATATTCTTTGCCAGCCTTAAAAAATGGGTATTAATGTCATGATCATGGCAAGGACAACCACTGCGGAGTTCCACATCTTTATTGGCATCACTTGTATAAGCTCTAAAATTTTACTTGAGTTCCATTATTTGTTTTGTACCTGACATCAAAAGAAAAAAAAATATGCATGGACTAATATAAAACTAGGATTTGTGAGCATCTTGTGAATTTCATAAGCAACAATTCAGGAGAATATTTGGGCTCCTATTATTACAGTGGGACTTTAGCATAGATGAGAGAGAAGGTGTCTCTAACAAATAATAAATGGAGAAGCTCCAGAACAGGATATTATCACAAAAAATTTGTTAAGCATATTCATTTCCCAGCGTATGTTCTTTTTTTAACAAAAAAAGGTTAGAAGCTTCATTTGTATGTTTTAGGGGGAGACTAAAGAACAAAAAATGAGAGAGAATGGGATGATAAGATAAAATTAAAGAGTTGTCCACATTTTAAAAATGGATAGAGACATTTCAGTTCCAAGAGAACACTGCTTTATCCATCAAAAGAAGTAGGTCTGGGCTACTAGCATATGTTCTGTCCCATTCATTTTAATATTTCCTTGTATAGTTTGCATGTTTAACTCTCTGTAAGACTGATTCTTGTTCATGCTTTTTTGTTGCTGTTGTTGATTTCAACTCATGCTCTGATTTACTTCACCAAGTACCCTCCAAATTCAAACAAGCTGCAGAAATGCTGAAATCAATACATGCCTCTTGAAGGATAGACATTTTTGTAACACAAAGGGGAGAATGACTAATAGATTACTGCAGCCTTAACAAAACCTCAACAGATCCCCATATGGTGCATTGCAATTAAAAGAGTAGAGGATGGATTTCTAATTTTTTGGGTGGAGGGGAAAAAAAAAGAAAAGGAAGCATTTTGGACAAGAAAATGAGTGAGATGGAGACAGAAGTGATGTGTGACCATACACCAGATAGAAACCCTTCTTTGTGAGCCTTTCATCTCTGGGTCACTGGTTCCAATCGAGCCCAGGTCGATAGCGAACAAAAATCATTTTAATCTGATGGCTGTTTGCTGACCTATGTGAAGTGAACTGGTTGTGTCAGTCCACTTCCCAGCTGACAGCTCTCCCCATCATCAAGGCCATTGCTACAGGTGGCAGTAATTGGTGCTTTTTTGAGGCCAGCTCAGCTAAAAGGCTGAAGAATTGAAAAATCAGTAGGGCTGAACCACCTCCTCCTCTCGCTCAGCTGCTCCCTCCAGGTGAGTGCTGGGGGAAGCTGGCACTGCTGTTGCCTGCACCACATCTGCTCTTTGAGCCAACAAAGGACTTCAGGGCAAAGGGGAGTCCTCTGAAGTGGTAAAGACCTCTTGTCAACACAGATCTTGGGGCGGCTGAGGGGTTGTAAGGCCCCAGGCCTGCACTGCCCTGCGGGTGGATACCATTGTTTGTTGGTGGCTCCAGGAGAGTGTTGGTGTGAGCATGGGGCTCTGAAAGGAACCATCAGGCTATCAAGCCCAGTCCCCGGGGCCTAAGGGTCTATAGTTAAAATTCTGTCTGCTAAACAAGACCAAGGCCTAAGCCAAACTTTCACTGATGTGCGTGGAGGGACATCTGGGCTCACATGCAGATATGTCCAAAGAACTTTAATAAGCTTATATGAGAGGGGACCTGGCAAAGTGAGTTCAATCTAAGATTTTAAAATAATATAGGAAGAAATAAAAAAGGAACTTTGAGAGCTTAATAAAAAATAATGCCCTGGAGAGGAGAGCTTTAATCTTTGATTTGATCAGTGTTTCTCTGAGCAGCTGATACCTCCCCTGTTGTGAGGAGATAAAGTATTAGGAAGAGGATATTATGAGGAGGACTTTAAAGTACATTGTAAGCCACAGCCACCTACCTTGTGTCCCTCAGATGCCTCCTGAGAATGTTGATTTTGACATGGGACATCAGAGATTCCAGGATGGTCTGGCTAACTGGGGCACCAAGAGGTGCTCCAAAGTCTGCCCACATTGGTGCTGGCCAGTGATGTTTTCCACAAGGTAAATCTGTGCCTGCCCCACTGCAGACAAGAAGAAAATCAGTGAAGGATGTCAGAACTGCCAGCAACGCTGTCAAACCAAACCTCAAAAAGTGGAAAATGCACCTCGTAAGTATCTGCTTTCCCTTTCAGGGACAAATACAGAAGTTTTAGAAGGGGAGTTCCCATCAGGCAGTCTCCAAGTGGAAGGATCCATGCTGCTTGTGGTTACCTGACATCTGAATGAGCTACTCCAACACTGCAGTTCACAAGAAGTTTGTGTGCTAGTACAGATATGAGACATAGATGCATGGGATATGGACAAAAAATGAAAGAGGCGTTAAAAAATCAGGAAGAATCTGTCTTTTGCACATTGAGCCTTGTGCAAGTCTTTACCATACGTGCTCGTCTCACATATACACAAATGTCCTTTTCAGCACCTACATCAAGCATCACTGTTCCTTGGCAGACTAGGTACTAAGAAATGCAGTCCCTCAATTCTAAAAGTAGATAAAAAAAAAAAAAAATACATGGTTGTCCCTCATGTGGTGCCTTCCTGAGCTCTCACAATTCCCTTTCCATTATCAGATGGACTGTGGCTAGAGGCAATCCACGTGGAAGGCTGGAAGTGTTCCTCACAGGCATATATAATCTCTACTGGATTTCTCTAATGCTGGAGAGAAATAAGTGATACATCTGCATGAAAGATATTCCTTTTCATTTTTCATTGGTGATCCCCCAGTTTGATTTGTCAAGAAAAGAAAACTCCTGGAAACTTTCAGCAACTTAAGCCTAGACGTTAATGAACATGGTCTGCCAGTGAAGCTGTCTGTGCACACTGAATTCCCTTTGTAGCTCACAGTCTGAAGAGTTGGAATTCTCAGTGTTTCCAAAATCTAAAAGAAAGCTGTTGCTTGCCTGCTTGCTAAAAATATTCAGAAGGCCACAAGAGGAGGTAATGATTGGTCTCACCTGATCCTGAGTCCATCTCTAGGCAGGAGGATGAAGAGCAACCACTTGGAGGACTACAAGTCAAAGGTACATGTGATGACAACTGAGCTATCTGGGCTTTGGCTGAAGCCTTTACTTTCTAGGATCCTTTCTCAGTTCAAATGAAGTTAAGCTTACTTTACTGAGAGGTTTACTAGCAAGGTAGGTGCAAGGTTAATTTTGCTCCCATGGATAAAGAGTTGGGATCAATGTCCTGCCATGGGCAAGGAAGTTAAATGGCAGAGTCAGGATGTAGAGTTTGTAGGATGAGCCCATCTCCACAGTATGCTGTGGGATATAAGGTCTGTAATTCACAAAAGGGTGAGGAGTTATATCAAGAAGAATGTCATTCAGATATCGTAAATGGATAACCTAAAACATGCATTGTATGTTATATGTTAGTCTTCATCTCCTGGACTACAAACCAGGAAAAAAATTCAGGGACAGATAGAAACATCATCCAGAGGTGAATTGCACCTGTGAGGTTTCTGACCTTCCTCTGAATAATTTGATCTACGCTTATGTTAGATCAGTACTGGAATAAATAGGCTGTGAATGGCAGAATGCTGTTTCAGTTGGACACAGAAATTTCCACAGTTTCTCAGACCTCTGGTCCATTTCATCTAGTATCCCAGTGGAGTCACCAGCACATGCTTCTTCAGAAGCTGTTACATTCCTGTAATAGACAGTTCTGTGAAGATACACCTGTTTTGAGCTGTTTATGTCTAAATATTGCAATATTGTCAGCTCTTCAAATTTGGGTGAGCCTCAGTGAATATTCATAACTTGTAAACTATGGGGTTTAGGGCCCTGGAGTTTTACGGTAATTGGGAATTACATGAGACCACCTACTTCATTAAAACAAAATGAGAGTCAAAGCCAGGCCTGCAAAGGTAAACAGTGCATGAATTCACTGCCTCCATATTTAAAGCCTTCAAAGCCTTTCAGTTAAAATCCTTTTCCGCTCTGGATCTCAGCATGAGTCTGGCTGCAGGGAGGTTTTGTGTGGTGGCCTGTCAGCTTCCATCTCCAACACAGTGAAATTCAACTAATTGTAAGTGCACATTGCTTCAGGCATACACTGCACACTGCCACTCGGGCCATGCACACGCGCCGTGACCCTGTCCACCTACTGCAGAATGTGGTATTCTCTCCCCACACACACACTTTTCTTTTTTGTTACTTGCAATCACTGAAAAGATGACAGGCCAGAGCAAGGAACAGAAATCCCTGTTGTGTTTCTGCAAAAACCAGCATGGAGGTATTTAGTGCCACAACTACATATGTGCCAAGAGTTGCTGCAGTCTTTGGATTGTGCCTCCATTAATGAAAATGGGTTGGCCGGAGAGCACAGTGTGAAGCTGTGCTTGCCTGTGGGCTTTGATCTTACCTGCTGAAGCTGACCTCACTGCCATGTCAGGCTCTGCAATGCAGCTGAGGATCAGAAAGCATCAAGAGAAAAAGAGGAATAGAAAAATCAGAAATGCCTCCCAGTTGAAAACCTTCTGTGACCCAAAATAGCCTCTATTAGTGCTAATTCTGAGTTGCTTGTAAAGTTCTGCAAGGTTCTTAGGAATAGTGTAGTCACAGATTACTGGCAAACTGTCCCCAGCAGACTTTTTTTCAGCACATATTAATTCCTCAGATTTTTCCATCTGAACTTCACAGAAGTTATCTGCATTTGTTTCTATTTCTAGTTTGGATAGGCAAGTCTTTAGTTCTGTCAAAGGAGGCTTTCTTCTCTCACTCCTTAAACAAGAATCTTTTTCAGGTATTTAATTTGGCTATCAGCTTGACCATCACAGGTTATGAGTGATGAACTGCTTGCATGAATGCCATTATCTTCAACTGGACTCTCTTCTGGGGAGCACAATGTAGGACTACGTTTGCCTTCCTCCTCACTTAATTTCCTAATTCTTCAGCTGAGAGGATCATTTTCATCATTTCTGCTGATGCCAGTTTATCAGCAAACTACAATGTCTGCAAACCATACGTTTTATCCTTCTGTGCTCACATTTGCCTTTCACTGTGTGCTCAGTAATTAAGCAATCACCCACTCCACCCCACCTAGCATCCTTTGTAGAGGCCTTCATGTTTTGGGATGCCTTAGGATCCAGACACACTGTGAGGTCAGCCTGAAGGCAAGTGCCTGCCTCCAGAATCATAAAGCTCCGTAGCAATGGGAGAATTTTAGGAACTAGGAACTATGTGACCCAAAGCTCAGAAGCTAAGTCATACCAATCGTCTCCCCAGTACTGGGGAACTGGGTTTCTGAATTAATCCCTTTATGCCAGTCTTGCTTAGCTCCTGTATAAAATTCTGGAAGAGGTAATTTCAATCCCACCCTATGCCTTTATTGTGTGTTAGCACCTGATCCTTCACTAATGACTCAAGGTGCTACAGTTGAATGAATCATGTAAATAAGATTAGTATTTGGTTGTTATCACAACCTTTAGACTGATCCTCATAAAGTTAAGCTCAGTTCTGAGCAACCTTCCTGATGTGACTAGCTTTTATTTTTTCTGTTATTCTACTGTAGAAATGTTTCTTATCAGTCATATCATCTGATAATTCTCTCATATTCGACCCATGACACTCTGTAATCAATGCTGCTTCAGTGAAAAAAACATTGGAAATCAACCACAAAAGATCAACAACTTAAATAAATAGTTCTGACTGCTCTAAAAGAACTCATAATCCAAAAGACTTTCACTGCCACTCACCACTGAACCTCACCACTTCTGCTCACCGAATTATACAGCACGTTTTTTCCCAAGCCATTGCACCTGAAGTGCTGATTATACTGTACCTGGAGTGCTGAATGCTCTCTGAAGGGCTGTTTGCCATCTCTGTGAGGCTGCTACTTACTTCCTGACAGAAGTGATCCCATTGCTATTTTTACTTTGTTTTGGAGGGAATAACTGAAGTGCTAGTGTTCAGAGGTGCTTCTAAAACACTACAAAAAGTACAACTGCAACAATTCACTTTTTGGAGATAAGAAATTGGGTCACAGCAATTACCCAATATCTCATCCTCAATTCAGTGTGAGAACTATGATCCAGAAGTACTAGATCCCTCTCCTGACTGTGAGAACACCTTTGTCCAAAAATATATTCTAGTTGTGGGAGCTATGAGGAAAATAATAGCTGCCATGAGCTCCACCAGAAATTCATTGAAGATAGAACAGTCTCAAAAATATTTGAAGGAACAATTAAATTTCATTAAATACATTTTTAAGTCTCTGAGGAGTTAATAGAAAGAAACAGAATATGGTGATGTGTGTGGTATATGTGTGCATGTATGTCAGATACATGGATACAGTAAAGATACACATGTGTAGAAAAAAAAAAATATATATAGTCTCTTCCTAACTATTCTCACTAGTTTTATTGCTTAATTTCTTTATTTCTAGGTGTTTGATAAATAAATTTAAAAGAAATAAGTAATTCTGAGTACTAGAGTCAAGAATGACTTTTCTTGAATATTTTGATGTTGATATGAAATATACTGTATTTTTCTTATAGAGCAAAGACAGCCTCTGAACATACAGACAAAAGGAATTAGTGTGCCAGTGAATTCTTGTTTTGGGGCCTTAACCTATATAGCTTTTTACTGATATCCTGCAAGACATGAGTTCCATGCACAAGGCTTCACAAGGTAAAAAGTGGCACCACAGCAAACTGGAGACATAAGTATTCCTCTTCTCACTTGGCTTGAAATGTCTCACCCATCTGAATTCATGTTTCCAAGAAGAGCTTACAATTAGGAAGAAGCAGATTAGATAGAATTGGGTGACTCAGCTGATTTTTACGTGTGTTCTGATAGGTTTTGTGTTGCTGGAAGTAGCTATTCAAGAGTTAGGATTTCTTCCTTTAAAGGAGACTCTAGGTCTATCATACAAAATGGGTCCTCTCTGAGCACCTCACCAACCTTATGGGCAGAGAGACAGTGTCTAACACCAAAGTGCAGAGCTCAAAAGAATGACGAAGATAAATCATGTGTCCTCACATGTCCTTCTTTACACAGGTTCTCAAGAAGAGCCAGACCCACAACTTCAACAGATTTCTCAGAGCCCTGAATCAAATCTCCTGCCTTAAAACTGTTTTCTGCAAAAGGCTATTAAATTTTTCCAATCAGGAAACTCTCAAAGGCTATCTTCTCACAACTGAGCCATTGCATTTGCAGAGCAAACAGCTTTCCACACTTTAAATTCACAGATCATCTGCCTATTGTCAAATCTGGATTTTTCCTTGAGCATTCTGGAACTGAAGGCAAAGCATTTTCTCACAACAGGGTAAATTCACTTGCCTTTTCTCCCCTGCAATTGCCCTATGGTTTCTCTGAAAAGCCAGAAATTACTGGTGTTATTGCTAGTATGGCTGATTTTTGCCATGTTAACAGTAAATCGTAGTCATTAGCAAGCAAATACTGAAATCCCCCATTGTATCTTTTTCTTGCAACTAAAGACATTTTTAATTTCTTTCTTGTCATGGTTCTTCTAAGGTATTTGTAGGGTATAAAACTCATGATTAGTCTTCCACTCTGCTAATCTTGATAAGTAATATTTTTGAAGAGTTACTGAGAAGTCAGGAGGAGGTGTTGGTTTGAGGTGCAGCAGAAAATCGTTAACCTTCAGCTAGTTAAGAATTCCCCCAGGAAATGTCCACCCTGCAGATATTACTGCTCTGATGATGAAAAGTGTTATATAAAAACAGACTATAATTATGAGGTGGGAATCAGGAGAAAAAAGTTGTTTTTCTGAAAGTCCCCTCCAAATTTTATTTGGTTTTGATTTCCTTTTCCTAGAAGTATTAAACTCAAGCTGAATGAGCAGTGGGTTGCTTTAAACCATTGCTTCCCTCATATGTAAGCTAGTTTGTACAGACAAAGGGAGGTTTGGGCATTTGTTGGTTTTTGTTTTTTGGGTTTGTTTTTTCTTTTTTTTTGGGAGTTTGTTGTGGTTTTTTGGATATTTGAGGGGTTTTTTGTTGTTGTGGGGTTTTTGTTTTGTTTTGGTTTTTTTGGGGTTTTTTTTTGTTTCTCTGAATACTGTTTATTTAAGTGATTGTTGGCTCTTTTCCTGTCCTTTGTTGACCCCAGGAAACAACTTTTTTTTATGCGTTTCCATTCTGGGATTTCTATTATCTACTGCCTTGTGCTGGGTGTACCTCAGTGAACAGGCCCAAAAGAGAAGGAGAGAGCTGAAGTTCCTATTGAACTAAGGTTTGAGGCCCAAGAAAACCATCATTTGAATCAAAGCATTTCAGAAGGTAGTTTACAAGTCTACTTCCCAAGAAGAAACCAGGATGCAGTGTTATCACCTTCATGAAATTAAAGGAGGTGGTTTTACGATTTAGTGGAGAGAAGCCATGCTGTTAATTAGTCACATTTATTTGACAAAAAAAGTGGGGGAGGGTGAAAAGGGGAAAGGAAGTTGGGAAAGAAAAACAGAACAGAAGGGAAAAAATCTTTATGATGAGGTGCTTGGCAGGATGAAGGAACAAAAGGAAGGTTTTCTGCCTGTCTCCTGATATTTTCCAACTCAGCAAAAAAATCCATTGTGTAGCTTAAGGGGGAAAAAAAAGTTAAAGTTGAAAGCTTAGTGTGTGAAAGCAACTGCTCAACCATTGTGTAATATGGGCTAATGTAATGTCACTGTTTCCCCATGATGTAAGTTGCAATTTTTGTTCCAGTTGCTGGGGTCAATGTTATCGCTTTCAGTTTTCAAAAGAGGGCAAGGAGGTGTGTGGATATGGTATTTCTCTTTACCCCCACCACCCCTTCCCCACTCCCAAATACTTCTGTTAGGACATATCAGTGCTGACCAGATGTCACTGATTTTTTTTTTCTTTTTTTGCATGTGTCCCTTAACAGCTGGCAAGAATATCAGCTCAAATTATTCACCACAAGCACACTCTTTCTGTGTGTCCCCAGATAAAGGGATTTGAAATCCTGGTTGTCAGAGAGGGATGCTGAAAACTGTGGAATGGATTTCTTTGAGGAGAAGGAATACTTCTTGAAGAACTTTAAACCAGTTAGGAATGGTCATGACTAGGATGCACATCCAAAGACATCCCTTAAGGTTGGTACTTCATGTTTTTGGAAACTGTTTTAAGCCCAGGATGTTTTCTTGGAACTATTGTGAAGTGTTCATAGGAATCAGTAATTCTAAATGTAGAGGCTGTTTTCATTTTGGTCATGTCAGCTAAAAAAAATCTTAGATGTGGTTACAGGTGAGAAATACAATGGGTGGATGGCAAATAGACGCCACTCTGCAGGATGTTCTAGAATTGCTTGGGACATACCCATGTGTCTTTGCTCCATCAGCCTTCAATCTACATTTTGCAAATGGGCTGAGGGCAGTGCTGGGTTTGCAGAGGGACCACACACAGCCCTGGTGTCACAGCACTTGGGAGATGGCAGTGGGGACGTAGCAAGTGACATTACACCTGGAACCAACACTCAGTGGTTGCCATGGTGCTCAGTACACAACAAGGGCTGATTTATCCTCATAGATCATGAGCTACTGGCCCTTGTCATCCATGTCATTACCTTCTGCCTAGTCATAACCTTCTCCTCCTTCCCTCATATTTACAGTTGTATCTGCTTTTCTCTTCAAAACTGTCACAACTAATCTGTGTTGTATAGAGTAGTGCAGTGTTCTCCCCAGTTATGGCTCTTTTGCAAAATAAGTGTGTTTTCCTTATGTGAGCAAAGACAATTAAGTGGGTCAGTACATGGAAGACATGGCTTGACAGCATTTTTAATGTTATCTTCAGACGACTGATAAAAACAAGATCAGATGAAGATAGCTCAGAGTTTCTGCATGCTCATAGACAGTCGGGATGCAAATCAAAACTTCAGCTCTGTCTCTAAACTGGAAAAAAACTATGCTTATTTCATACTGCATCTTGTCTTTGGTGATGTTTTTAAATAACTACTTTAAAGAAAGAGAAAAATAATTTTAATAAACAGTAAGCACAGAAACTCACCTAGGAAGAGTATGTAACACATTACATGCCTCAGGTATGGTAAAGTTATGCTTCACCTTATTAAGGCTTGTATTCTATTACTTCTTGTCTCTACTCTTGCCACACGGTTGATCAGAACAAGAATGCTTTTCTAAAGCATGCTAAGCTCTTGAAATTGTTCTTATTGTTCATATTTTCATAACAACCTACTCTTTAGTGAGGAAACTCTAACATTTTGTTATGACATGGAACACTTTCCATATGCCCCACCACCTCCACCAGTTCCTGAAATCCATTCAGTTATGAGGCCACCTGCTTCAAAGTGCAAAGATGGGAATTAACTGTGGATTCTGTCCATTGTAGGATGCAGGGAGATGGGGCTCTAGACAATTGAAAAGCCAGTCTTGAGTGACCTAGATATCTGTAAGAAATTCTATCTCCATCTGAGTCAATACTAGCCTTGCCATTGACTTCACAGGGACCATGATAGAAGCCCCTGTGCCATTTTTGCTAAAATTGAGGTATTATGGTACTTGCCATTATTTCTAAAGTGCTTTTACATGCATATAAAATTATTAAATAAGAATTAATTCTAATTATTACTGTATTTTCCATGTTATTTTCCATCACAGTCTTTTGTTTGTTTCCCTGATGGCCTCGAGGCACAGAGCAGATGTTTTCACTGAGCTGTCCTCAGTGACTTTTAAATTGTTTCATCATTGAGAAATGGCAACAGTGGCAGTCTTTCTTGTGACATTCAATCTCATCATCCTTTTTATGCTTATTAAAAAACCAACTTCAGGGCCAAATATAACCAGCACTGGAACCACCATCGCCAGATAGCTCAGGTAAAAAGAAAGAGGGGTATGGAGAGCTAAAGGGGAGAAGAGAGAGTGGAACAAAAACAGTGAGAGAAAACAACAAGGAAATTGGCAGAAAACAAATAAATTAAAGAAAGCAAGTAATTTGCGTAATTGAGAAGTATTATTGTGTGAATCCTCCTCAATTATTGATGGCCTGAAATTCAAATATTAATTTAGATTAAATCTTGAATCTGTTTAGCCTTAGAAATAATGGAGCACATTATTAGAAAAAGGAAAAAACATTCCTCCAATGTCTTACAATGGAGTAATACTGAAAACTTCTGATTCCCCCAACAGAAAACCTACTTTAAAAAAGACAAGTCATTAATCAGTAACAGCTGCTGCCAGCACCTGTTATTTATTCCAGTCATTAACACTTCCTTTAGCATTTCTGACAGAAACGAGTATCTTTTCTAACTGATAGAAAAGTGATCTTTGGAACATCCCCAGAACTCAGTGGCTATATTTGATCTACAATGTGTGTTTATGTCTTATTGCAGCTTTTCTTTTTCCCTTGTGGGCTCCTTTTTTAAAAGCATAGATTCTAAAAGCACGGAGCATTCCATTTCTTTTTGTTGAAGATTTGTGCAGCCTCTAATTTTTGGTGTGCCCTGGTTAGCTGGTCACAGAGGTGAGGGCACACAGTGCCTGGGGGGTGTGTACAGGTGCCAAAGGAGTCCCAACCAATGTGGCCCTCCCAGTGCCTAGTTCTTGTTGAGGTTAATAGAAATGCAGAGAGCATAAATCTGGGGTTCCAGTGCTACAGGTGTTGCAGCAATTCTGTGTCAGTTTTGCTTTCTGTCACAGCCTCCTTGCTCAGATCAAGCATAGCCAGGGTACCCCACAGAGCTGCAGAGGAGGTTCCTCTCCTGCCTTTCCCCACCCTGACACTCTCTACAGGAGCAGGGTTCTCCAGGCAAAACCATGTCCTGCCTTACCTCTTCGTACAACAACCCTTGGCTGCCTTTTGGCCTTTCTCTTCCCAATGCAGGCAGCATCTAAGCCTGGTGAATCAGGAGAAAACAGAAAATCAAACAGCAACAAGTGTAGTTCAGAGGCACTTTCCTTCATGTCCATTACCTGTAGACTTCCAGCAGCAATGCTAGTTTGGCACAGCTGCTTTCCACAATCATCCAAAACCCTCCTGTGCATGTGCAGAAGTAAGGCCTGAAAGGGTAGCCTGGTTTAAAAACCTTATGGTAAACAGTAATATATAGTATAAATTAACATATAAAAGATGTGTAGATGTGGCATTTGAGGACATGGTTTAGTGGTGGATTTGGCAGTTCTGGGTTAACAGCTGGACTTGATATTAAGGATCTTTTCCAACCTAAATGACTCTGATTCTCTATTTCTGTGTGTAGTTAAACACAGCACCAGTGAAGAAATGTAAGCATACAGGTAATACTGCTGCTCTTTGTCATCATTTTCTTTTTCTAGGCCTCTCTTTTTGATTAATAAATCTGTGAAATCTGTTTCATGCACAGTTAAAACGTTGAGGTTTGTAGTAGTTTCCTACCACCTTTAGATAATGCTTTTCATCTGAAAGCCACTGTTTTCATTTAAGACTGTTGACGTTGTGACAACATTTCTGTTAGTCTTGGGGTTTATAATGTTGTTTTAGTAAAAAGTATGCATGGGGTTGGATTTAGGAGAACATTGTTTCTTTAATACAGATAGATAAAGAAAGCAGTGTATTGTATTTATCAAAAGGAAATGTCAGCAGAAATTTATAGTCTGGTAATTAGATAACACAGATAAGTCTGCTGAGTTTGTGTGCTCACAACTGCCATTCCAGATAACACTTCCTGAAGTCAATTAGAAGAACTTACACAGCACCATATATTTTTCACAATTCCTTTCTTTAAATTGATACAGAAAGAAAGAAAGAAAATTAAGATACAGGCAAATTAAGATACAGGCAAATTAAGATACATGGAAACATATCCATGACAAGCAGGATATGTAGAAGTTCCATGTAAGTTTTTGCTCTGAACAATCAATCCTGCTGGCTTTGAGTGAGAGTAACGGGCATCTGACTTTTCCAAAGACTCCTACAGTCACAGGAGCAGCAGCTGTGCCAAACCATCACCACTGCAGGGCAATGGAGAATTCCATGGGCCCTTTGATTCCCACTAAGGTAAAACCAGACTGAAGTGAGAGGCTTGTATTTTTCAGACAGGTGGCCTTGGTAAACATCCCCGTTTGCATTTATGGAAAACCTTGTAAAGGAAAATCTCTTAGTGACTTAAAAAGGAAAGCGCACAACTAATAGCCAAATTATCTCGGTTGCAGAACTTGGATCATACAGAAGGCCTGGTTCTCCTCCATACAATGTTTATGTGAAATGTAAATGAGTGTCGTGGTTTGACATAGCTTGGCTTTTAGTTAAGGTATTAGTTAAGGTCTAGTTAAGGTATTTTCATTGAAAACTTCCTGAATTGTTTAGACTAATGGTAAAATATTATGGTAAAGTTCATACCTTATAACACATTTTGCCTCATGTAATTAGATGTCCTTGAGAATATCAGTTTTTCCTTATCCAGGCTACCATTAAAAGTATTTTCTGATATCTGACCAAAAGTGCAGTTTGCTTATACTAAGTACAACTCTCCTCAGGACACTGAAGTGCTACTTAGGGCCAGAAAATGGGATAAGGGGGAGAACTTATCTTTAAAAATGCTTGCATTCTAAAGCAAAATCAAAAGT